CACCTTTACTTCCAGGGACTGCACCCGGTACCCACTCAGGACTTGGTCAACCTGGGAGCGAAGGTCATTTTTTTAAATAGTCCGGCTCCTCCAGGGAGCGAACCCATGACCTTCCGATCCGCGGCGAGCGTCTAGCAACTCGGCCACGGCGACCCCTGAGTGAAGAGTGCGGAGACAAATCGATGGTCGCGGTCTTAGAAAAATAGTGCTGCAAGGGGACTGGCTAGTTAGGAACCATTGAGTGGTCAGCTGTGGCATCTCAAGCTGTGTGGTGTGAGAATCCCTCAGGAGCGAATGACCAGTGCCTAGGCGCAAATAGATCATCACGGTTTGATGAGAATGGGGCTACGAGAAGTGACCAGTGCCTAGGCGCAAACAGATCATCGCGGTTTGATGAGAATGGGGCTACGAGAAGTGACCAGTGCCTAGGCGCCAACAGATCATCACGGTTTGATGAGAATGGGGCTACGAGAAGTGACCAGTGCCTAGGCGCAAATAGATCATCACGGTTTGATGAGAATGGGGCTCCGAGAAGTGACCAGTGCCTAGGCGCAAATAGATCATCACGGTTTGATGAGAATGGGGCTACGAGAAGTGACCAGTGCCTAGGCGCAAATAGATCATCACGGTTTGATGAGAATGGGGCTACGAGAAATGACCAGGAGATCTGACCGACGTTCAACACTCAAGGGACAGGCGAGACGGATATACAACCAACCAAACTGTTACTGGTACCCTCCCAACTGGAACTCTGCGCCTACTGCTGAAGATTGGGGCGGAGCGCTTATGAGAATATCCCGATAATTCATAATTCAATATTCACATATTAAAGAAAGCGAGTACTTAACAATAAATAATTTCTTGTTTATTTTAGTTATTGAGATGAAATCATATCAGGCCAGCACTTGTAGTTTGGTTCTATGGCTTTCTTGTTTCTCCTGGTCCATTTATCAAATAATGGTTCGTTTTCGTGATGGAACTAATCTCTTCTTGGACCTATGTGATTCGAAGTTCTGCTAAAACCTGGCAAAACAAAATAATGTATATTAATTCAAAATTACAATAATTTTTAAGCGACAAAGCCATTCTGTTTAGTACAAAAATCAAACACATGCAAAGAACAACAGACGATCTGGCGTTTATAGTACTCTGAAGGTTAATTGCGTATCCTTTACAGGACGTTGCGGAACCAACCCCAAAAGCCCCTGGCTGTTGTATGGTTTTTCTAGGCAAATTTACGTCTAGTAGTTTGCCATTACCCCTGGACGGTCGGCTTTCTTGATACCACTGTCGAAACCAACGTAAGGCGCATGGCCCGCAGCTAGGATCGAACCCGGCATCCCGGCATTACGAAGCGTTCGCATCGACTTAGCCACAGAGCCTACTTACAGTACTCTACGGCATCAAAAATAGGACTACAAGTAAGTCATGCACACTCATGTTACACACGTCGTTCTCTTCCCCTTAAACAATCCTCTGGGTCGGAACCACACCCAGTTCCTGGTTCACACATTCTTACAGATACTATTTTATGTAATCTCTGGTTTTCTATCAGCATTCGTTCAACAATTGTCTTCAAACAATGTACTCCTGTACATCCCGGGTATGTCTACATGATTCCCTGTACGGTTGACGTGCTAATACTTCGTATCCATACATGTCACATGTGTCCATTTTGAAACTTCTGATGTAAGTGATGAGAATAAGACACTACAATACCTCTGGTAACTCAGTTTTCTGCTATTCACATCAGAGCTGCAGTGATTGCCCCGATCTTCATACTTGAAGTTGTTAATCAAAAGTTTTGTTTTTTTGTTTTTTTAATTAAGGCAATATTTCGTTCTGCCCTGATCTTTCCCTTCACTCTAGCTAAAATCCCCAGGTAGATCTTTCCCTTCACTCTAGCTAAAATCCCCAGGTAGATCTTTCCCTTCACTGTAGCTAAAATTCCCAGGTAGATCTTTACCTTCACTCTAGCTAAAATCCCCAGGTAGATCTTTCCCTTCACGCTAGCTAAAATCCCCAGGTAGATCTTTCCCTTCACTCTAGCTAAAATCCACAAGTAGATCTTTCCCTTCACTCTAGCTAAAATCCCTAGGTAGATCTTTCCCTTCACTCTAGCTAAAATCCATAAGTAGATCTTTCCCTTCACGCTAGCTAAAATCCCTTGGTAGATCTTTCCCTTCACTCTAGCTAAAATCCACAAGTAGATCTTTCCCTTCACTCTAGCTAAAATCCACAAGTAAATCTTTCCCTTCACTCTAGCTAAAGTCCCCAGGTAGATCTTTCCCTTCACTCTAGCTAAAATCCCTAGGTAGATCTTTCCCTTCACTCTAGCTAAAATCCACAAGTAGATCTTTCCCTTCACTCTAGCTAAAATCCACAAGTAATCTTTCCCTTCACTCTAGCTAAAATCCACAAGTAGATCTTTCTCTTCACTCTAGCTAAAATCCCCAGGTAGATCTTTTCCTTCACTCTAGCTAAAATCCACAAGTAGATATTTCCCTTCACTCTAGCTGAAATCCACAAGTAGATCTTTCCCTTCACTCTAGCTAAAATCCCCAGGTAGATCTTTTACTTTCACTTTAATGAACAGAACTCTCGGTGCACACTATTGCATCATCTAGCCCAGCGTTGTGCACACTAGTGCATCATCTAGCCCAGTGTTGTACACACTATTCCATCATCTAGCCCCTCGTTGTGCACACTATTCCATCATCTAGCCCCTCGTTGTGCACACTATTGCATCATCTAGCTCAGCGTTGTGCACACTACTGCACCATCTAGCCCAGCGTTGTGCACACTATTGCATCATCTAGTCCAGCGTTGTACACACTATTGCATCATCTAGTCCAGCGTTGTACACACTATTGCATCATCTAGCCCAGCGTTCTGCACACTATTCCATCATCTAGCCCAGCGTTGTGCACACTATTCCATCATCTAGCCCCTCGTTGTGCACACTATTGCATCATCTAGCTCAGCGTTGTGCACACTACTGCACCATCTAGCCCAGCGTTGTGCACACTATTGCATCATCTAGCCCAGCGTTCTGCACACTATTCCATCATCTAGCCCAGAGTTTTCATCTATCATTTGCAACTCCAACGTTGCCGTGCCATTACATCACTCTCTACATGTTGATCACTTCCTAATGTTATAATGCCCTGACGGAAAGTTGTTACGCGTGTTTCTGTCGACACATTCAAAGCCATTCTGTATTCGCTGGACCGATGACGCCAGCCTGGTGGTATTTTCAACTAGTGCCGTCTTTACCTTTCTTCTCTTCAACCGCTCTCTTCTAAAACCTTTCAGATTGCCATGTAGTGGATGTCTTTCATCATTTGTAACTTGCAGGCCTTGGCTTGTGCCAGTGAAAGTCTAGACCAGTTAATTCAAATGTTTTTTAGGTGTCGCCCCCACTGAGTATACGACAAGACCCCTACACCTCACCCAACAAACAAAATATTATGTATAAAAAAGGTAATGCGTTCTTAATCTATAATTAAAAGCACGTGTTATCATATTAAAAAGATTGCTAACGGCAGATGTGCTGACCGATCATAGAAAAGGGTACACCGGCTTTTGTTTCACGAATAGTTTAATACATATTTTATTTATAATTAAACTGTTAGTATAACAGATTAATACAAGTACAAATGGGCTCATTTTCAAAATTACTTGCCACCGCCGGGGACTTCGCCACGCCCCCAAGTGTGGAGACCATCGGCCTGGACCGGCCCAGGCATCTACCTGATTGTTATAACTGGTGTATTTCGTGTGCATTAAACGACAATGCTCATTCCTTCATTCTCCATCTGTTCAAGTTTTGCACACAGTGAAATAGATAGCGTTAAAATTCCTAGATCATAGTCAGTGACTGAAATGAGCTGTTGGTTAGACGATAAGACGTAAAGTCTGTGTTCCACCTACGTCGCCCACATTGTCTTTAGTGCTGCCAGAACACGTTTGTATTTGATTACAGCATGCTCTACGTGATATTTGTAGGACAGACTGTGATCAAATGTCATATTGAAGGATGTTAATTTATCTCTTCTTTCTACATCGATACCTTTCAAGAATTTACTAGGCAAGTCTTCCTTTCCAATGCTTTTGTTTAGAAGCATCACAGAAAACTAGCCTTTTCAGGGTTGACCAATGACTTAGTCCGTTCTCACAACTCAATCCTCTCATACACAGCTCTTTATACATCTTTGGTCATGTCGTATCTGTCTGACCTGGTTCGATACACTAGGATACATGACAACTTTCAGATCGCGAGGCAAATACTTGACCATTTAGCGACAGAAAAAAAAAAAAACAACAAAACACACACACACACAGTGTGATCGCAGAAAACTTGAGCAGCTGAATAATAGATGCGAGCAATATCAGTTTCAAACTTTTAGCCCCTAGAAGTGGCACCAGGTGCTAGAGCTTCTTTACCTTCAACTTCCGAAATACATTTCCATCTGACTTTATCTGGGTACCTAAGTACTTAAACGTATGAACTTGCTTGATGATTATCCCATTTAATTTGCTGTTATAATTGGAGGGTCCATTTTCAGTGTAATTACGATTAATTCTGTTTTCCTGCTATTCAGACTAAGACCCCCTGTTCTGACTTTTATGTTACAATTATGTCCATCATTTCTTGCCGCTTTATTTAATTTCCAACAACCAAAACTATTACCTTAGCATATCACAGGTCGTCCACAATATGCCCGCCAACCGATATTCCTGGCATATTATGTATGTATCTCATTATTATTTCACTTTACAAAATGAAACCATCCTGTCTTAGATGTTTTTGTTTAGGTTGGTCACATTACCCTGATAGGTAAATGTTTCCTAAACATTCACTGAAACCCCAATCAATAGGTTTCTTTCACAGAGACATAACAACAAAACATACTACAGAGTCAGCCATACTTGATAAGAATGGGTATTTCCGTTGTGTGGAACTATGCCTAATAATGTCCAAGCTTGGCGCTCTTGGTCTAGCAGTTGAAGGCGGTGGTTGATTTGCGTTGGCTAGATTTTCCAGAGGACTGCTGTCTGGGGGTCGTAACTCTAGAAGGTGGATCCACGGAGCTTCCTGTGCGACATTATAACAATTACAATGAAGCCATGAAATTATCTGCACCTAGCTTCTTAAACATTTATATAAACAAAGGCATCATTTTATAAAGCAAACAAAATATGCAACAATAATAGTGAGTTAGTGAGTGAGTGACGTTCAACCCTACCAGGACCGCACAATGAGTGATAATCACTCGGTGACACAAAGTGCCACTATTCGAATGAGGATCACCCTGGCACAAAACCCATAAGCCACGTCGATCCGTTATGTTATATTAGGGTTCCCGACGACAGCCGTGCTGGGGCTTGAAAATTTAAAAAATGGCGTCCCATGCTGGGGCGGACGAAGAATTCTTTTTCCTTACCGGCTGCAAACTCTGGCAGAAAGTTCTGGTTGTTCGACCACTTCTGGATTTCAGACTTGTTCCAGAACCTGAGTGTTGCGTGTACATATGTTTCACAGGTCTGACTCATTTACATGCAGACTGTTGGTTCCCTGCCTCTCAAGATGATTACTCCGACTTTAAAGGAAGCTCCCAATAATTTGAACCTTACGACATGCTTTTGGGCAGGCAGTGGGTCTGTTCTTGGTTTCCCCCACAATGGGACCCCGAGACCCATACGGGTTGGACGAAGAATTAACAAAATAATAATGGTACTAATAATGTAATCATACATATCTTGTTCAACCTTTCTGGGTTATATCTGAGAAATGCAGAGTTTGTGTGTCTTTTTGATATTGAATATCTGAATTTGTCTAATACTTTTGGTTAATTGATACTGCTGTTAATTATTTTTAAAATTTGCAATCCATCGTTATATAGACCTGAACCGAACAGGAACTTCTGTAGCCGAAATACATTTAGGGACGCTCATGTGGATATCGGAGCACTTACGTTCATGTTCGGCGAAGATGATCAATTTATGAACTGTGAGCAGCGAACAATGTTAATTATAACAGATTATAAAGATTAAATATAATTTATATTATAAGTTAGCTTTTCAAATAATGGTCATAATCAAATCGTGTTATTAAAAAAATGGTGATATGAAAACCTGCAGGATATTTGAGGCAATCTGGGTCGTAACATTTTATATTTGTATTCAAGGATAACATCTCTGACCTCAGGTGTGGGTCATTAAAAAAAAAAAAAGTTGTTCTCCGTCAGAAGCCGACTTTACATCTCAGGGAATTTCATGATGCCCAGTTTAGACCGGGTCGACCTGAAAGCACTAGATCAATAACAATCACCTGTCTCAATGCTGACTGGAATTTGAGATCTTTCAGCTGGCAGGGGTGACTAGTTGTATGACTATCTTGACATACATACACGCGCGGGCAAGCACATACACACGTCGTCATCTGCACTGCCCCCTGACAAAGACAATTCTGTCTTGCACACCTTGACCACACTCCTGGCATGACTGTAATTGTGTTTCTGTTTTTAAAAGTGAAAGTAAAGAAAATCATGTTTCATGTCTTCCCTGTGTGGGTTTCCGCGTGTGGGGGAGGATGAATAGATCTTACTGCCTCCCCACACAATCATGTCGTAAGAGTCGACTAACTCAGAGGATGCCTTTGAAGTAAGGGTGCATCTGCTTGAGAGGTAAGGAACCAACAGTCTGCATGCAGTTAAGTGATATAGGTAAAACGGATGTGCCCGTAACACTCAGGTTCTGGAACAAGTAAATAGTCCAGAGGCGAACGAACAACCCGAATTTCCCGCCGGAGTTTACAGCCGATGAACGCCAAAAAGACACAGAAGAAATTCCACGCCCTGATGCCCACCGGGTATGTAGTGGTATCCGCATATTATTTTCAGATCGGTCAGTATTAGAAGGGATAGCCACGCAGCCCAAAAAATCCCAGGCTCAAAGACGCCATACCTCCAACTTCCTGCCTACAGCGCAAAAAGGGATAAATACATGCAACAATTGCAGGCACATAAAGTGTGGAGCGGTCAACATCATGAACGTTGTGTTTATTTCCCGAGGCACCCCAATGGTGATTTAAATACAGGACCACTCGTTTGGTAATAAGGTGACTATACTATCTTAAACTGAAAACGGGACAACTCACTAACATTCTGAACTGAAAACGGGACATCCCTTTCAAATTTTGAGCTAAAGACGGGACATCCCAAGTACGTCAGTTTACACCCTCTCCTCACCCCTATTTTTTTTAGGTCACTGGGAAGAAGGTGTGAATTAGTCATTAGACAACAGTATTATAATCCAAACCATTACCACCAAGAAGTAAACGAAACAATACGCTCGTTAACTGCAATGAACAAACACGCTACAAGGAGAATTCTCATCAGTACAAATTTCTGACATTAAAGGTGTCTAAACCTAGTAAGTCTACAGATACAAATATAATTGCATGTTCTATTTCCACGCTATAGAAGTATTCTCAGAATACCGTGGACCAAGAAGAAAAGAAACAGACATTTTCTAAGATCTAAACATCAAGGAAGACTGGCTAATAAACATCATCTTGTTTCGGAAACTAAAATATTTTGGTCATATCTGGCGCCATGGCGGATTGAAAAAAAAATTATAACAGAAAGCCAGGATGGAGGGGCAGGGGCCGATCAATACGAAGATGGCATGCTATATAATATGAAAGAAACGAGGCCGGAGAGCTAGCAAGTGATCAATTTTTTTTCTGTCAGACCGTGATAAGAGGGACGTTCTGCAAAGGTCCTGCTACATGATGATGATTTGGTAGCTTATTCCTATATTTAGTGTGTGTGTATATGCGACCGAGACTACAGAATTTGTTTTGGAGTACCCGCGGGACGTCCGGGGCACGCCTAAACACGGGACTGTGTCGGTGAAAATAGGACGAATGGTCACCCTAGTTGGTAAGCAAGTGTGCTATACATATCGCTACTGCGGTTAGCGGGATAGGGGTATCCCCTATCAAAGGAGAAGTAAGACGCCTCCTTTCCTCCGCTAGTCTACGGGACACCCTTGGGCAAGGTGGAGTACCCGTTTAGCCCCCCAATCAGGGTTACGTGAAGCCATGGAAGCAGGTGGTGGATGGAGTGTAAGAGCAGCCGACAGGTATTGTTGGTTATGGTCTGCACTCTGCGGCGATAGGCAGATGATCTCATCAGTAGAGACAATGGCTATGGTCACCGACTAGTATAGTCACTGCTCAGGAGGAAAGCAACGGCAAACTACCTTCTGCAAATTTTGCCAAGAATCCATAACAATCATGAAAGAAAACAAGCGGAACAGCGCATAAATGCATTTGAATATAAATGTTACAGACAGGTTCTAAGAATATCTTAGGTAAAGAAAAGAACAAATGCATCCATACTTCAAGAGCTGAATATTGAAGAGGGTTGGCTAGTAAAGACAATAAAACAAAGAAAATTGAAATATTTTGGTCACTTGAAACGTCATGGAAGTCTAGAGAGAACAATAATGGAGGGGTATATGCCTGGGAAGAGAGGAAGAGGAAGGCCAAGGAGAAGATGGGTGCAGGATGTGGCAGATGATCTCCAGATGGGTGTATCAGACGCAGGACATCTTGCTCAGGATAGGAAGGTTTTCCGGAGGGTTGTTATGGCAGCGAGGTTCCGCGAGGGACATGCTACTGAATGAATGAATGAACTGTGGCTGCAATGGAATATAACGAAGAGGACAATTTTGATTATTATAACAATACTCAGTAGGATACAGCAGTCATCACTACATGAGGTAGGGCTTCAGGACTAGGTCCAGAAACAAGTCCCCTACCAGCGGAATGGCCAACGTTGACAAGATCGTTGTTTCCTTAGGTCGGAGTACAACTGCACGAGATGCGAAAAAGCAACATTAGGCCAGATGGGTAAAACTGATGTTCGCGCGACACAAGTCCGGAAACTGATGTAGACAAGCAACAACTGTTTGTCGCTGTCATTCCTCTAGTTAACGCTAGCAACAATAGTAACAACAATAATAACAGCAACAGTAACAGCAAGTGTTCCCCAGGTCCACGACACTGGCAAAAGAAGAAGAAGAATGAAGAAAAAGTCCTCAGAGGATCTCACCTTGTGGTTGTACAAATTTGTCCATGACAAACTGCAGTGGTCCCCAGATATAAGCACACCCAATGAGTATTCCCGCCAGGTGCCCTGTGCAGAAATTAATTTAACAAAGACTAATCACAAGATGCCTCTTGTTTTAAACATTCAAGCTGTTTACAAAGAAACAGTTGTTGCCCACTTCTTAATGCTATCCACTCATTTGTATCAGCACGCCAACATTGTAGCGAACCACATGGATATACTGTCCGGAGTATATAGGAGTGCAAGGGAAGAGAGAGCAGATTTTCCGCCTACAAAAGCGATAGCTACGGGGACACTCGCACTGGACAAGAGAGATATTCAGATGAACTTTTATGAGCGAATGCTGATAAAAAGACACGAGAGCTAATAAAATAACACGTGTAAGAATCAATGTGTGAACGAAAACAAATTAGGTGTGCATCAGACAAGGAGATATAAGGTCCTCCTGCTTCGTGCTCTTCTAGCTGCTTCGACCATAAACACATCTTGGTGCTGTAGAGTATCTCTGCTGTTATCTTCCCATCTTGTTCTTGGTCTACATTTTACTCTAAGTCCTTTTCCTCTTTTGGTATAATCCTTGTTTTGTATAGCATCAGAAAGCATTCTCTCCAATTGGGCAAACCGTTTGATTTGCTGTATTCGTATAGAATCTAGAACTGATTCTGTGTCGACCTTATCTCGTATAACGTCATTCCTGATTTTATCTATTCTGGTCACTCCTACAGTCTTCCTCAGACACCTGATTTCCAATGTTACTGATTTTCTTTGATGTTTTTTGTGAGTGACCACGTCTGGCACATCTAGCATGGGGGTTGGGGGGGGGGGGGAATATGCTTTGTATGAGATGTTTCTATGTGCTGACTTGGATTGCCTTATGCTGTGAGTGGGAGCTAGTTGTCCTAATACTTGGCCTGCGTTACTGCATCGGATGTTAATTTCTTTGTCTCATTTACCATCTTCAATTAACGTTTCTCCAAGATATTCAAAGTCAGATGCCTGTTTAATATATGTATGCCCTCATTTGGACACCACAAGGGGAAAAGATCTCGTGGAAGACCAAGGGAAACCCTACGTAGAACTATCATCAGGGAAGGCTAGCTCATGGGCCACTCAAACATCCAAGACCTACAACGGATTGCAACGGACCGCCGTGCATGGAGAGTCACGACCTCTGCCCTATGTGCCGCAGTCGACACAAGAGGAAAGACTAACTAACTAATAATTCTGATTCTTTCTTCCTATTGACATTACTTCTCTTTTTGATGTTGATTCTTATATTATTTGATATACATTCTTCATTCGTTGATGTAAGATTTGTAAATTCATGGCTGTATCTGCAGTCGATGCCTGGTCATCAGCAAAGAGTAATTCGTTGATGCCACCAATATTTTTGTTCCTGGGCTTGGCATCCTTGCTTATACTGTCAACGTAGGTGATAAACAGGAGTGGTGATAAGACACACCCCTGTCTTACTCCAGATGTTACTTTAGATGTTTTAGATTTTCCCTGATTTACTCTAACCACCATTCTACAATCTCTATATAAGCTGCTGCAAACTTAAAAATACACAACAGTCAATAAATGCTGCGGCCTATTTACGGCGCCCAAAAGAGAACATGCAGATAACTTGCGCAAAGTGACGCCAGTCAGTTGGCATATGCTTTACAGGACGTTGCACAACCAACCTCAGAATTTTTGTGTGTGTGGCTATTGTGGTTTTTCTAGTCAAATTTTACGATCAGTAGTTTGCCATTGCCCACTGAACGGTCAGCTCTCAGTCTTATTGGTCGAAACCAATACAAGACTGTCTGCTGCCAAATCGTCCGCAGCTGGGATAGAACCCAACATCCCGGCATTAGGAAGCAAAACGTAATGGACTTACCGACAAAAGAAGCATTAGGGACCATGAGCTGAATGAGAACTAGTTCTGCCCAGTATATGTACTTTGAAGGGACCGTGATGCCCATAAGCATCTGTGGTCCCCGAGGAGCATAGTGGGTTGTCAACACTTTCATTGCAAACAGAACACCTGGAACAGACGTAACGTTGGTGTTAGTGAATTGTCAACACAGTCCAAGCAAACAGAAGACAGAAGAAGTGTGTGTGGGGTGGGGGGGGGGGGAGGGTAAAGGATAAATGCACGGTCAAAACTTTTATAACAAAGGGACCATATGGAGGGAAACATCAGTGGATTGCCAAAATTTGCGTAGCAAACAGAATGTCGGGGACAAAAGTTTAGTGAAATTTCAAAACTTTCAAAGCAAAACATAACATATTGAAAATCAGAAGAAACAACAACAACAACAGCAACAACAACAAATGCATATGACGTGACAATATTTTCATAGCAAACATAACGCATGGGACGTAACATTAATGAATTGTCTAATCTTTCCAACCGAGCAGAAACTGAACACGAAAAAAAAAAAAAAAGTAAACATGTCGGAATCATTTTTAGCCTATTGAAGATTAGTAAAATTCAAGATTAGTAAAATTCTACAAGAGGCTTCAGACGTTTTTGTTCACCCGGGGAAGTTACTGCCACATGAAACACTGCTTTCGATCTACACATACAAAATATAATATATTGACTACATTTGCACTATTTTATTGAATTCACATACGATAGAGGGCATACTTACTCAGTCTGCACCACGTTAGAGAATTCACATGCAATAGAGTACATACTTACTCGATCTTTACTACTTTACGAAATTGATATACAATAGACAGCTTCAATAACAAGTTATTTTCTGAACTGACATTTACAAGCTTACATACTAACTACATCTGCACTAATTTACTGATCTGACATTTACAAGCTTACATACTAACTGCATCTGCACTAATTTACTGATCTGACATTTACAAGCTTACATACTAACTACTTCTTCTTCTTCTTCTTCTTCTCTTCCACCTTGTACCTCATCGAAGTGTCGGGGGGAGATGTAATGTTCGTTGATGAGCTCTGTCAAGAGCACTATTAAGACTGATGTTCATTTCTGTAAGGCTGTTCTTAATGCCATCACTCCATATTTTCCGAGGTCTTCCACTCGCTTTATACCCGTTGTAACGTTTTAGTGTGGCTCGCTGTGGCAGATAGTACCAGGGCATTCTTGTTAGGTGTCCAAACCATTTCATTTGTTGTTCTTTGATGACCTGTAAGACTGGCTTTATTCCTAGCATTCGTCTGATTTCATGATTTTGTATTCTGTCTTTCCTTGAAACTCCTGCAGCTCTTCTAAGGCATTTCATCTCTGTTGTCACAATTTTACGTTCATTGGAGGATGTAAGTGTCCACGTTTGGCACTGATAGCATAGTATTGGCCAAAAAAATTAGTTCTGATAAGATTCACTTTAGTACTCTGAGGTATCTGCTTGTGTGTCAACAGGGGAGATAGTTGGCCCATTACTTGATTAGCTTTGGCACATCTGGAGCTAATTTCTCTGTCCAGTTTTCCGTCTGAAGTAAAAATTGCTCCCAAATACTTAAATTCCTCTGTTTGTCTCAGGGTGTTGTTTTTTTAATTTAATTTCTAAATTGTCTTTATGTCTTCCTATCATCATTGTCTCTGTCTTCGTAGTGTTTATTTTCATATTATATTCCTCCCCTTTGTTACTAATTTGATTTAGGTGGTTCTGTAGGCATTCCATATTTTCTGCTATTAGTACCTGGTCGTCGGCGAAAAGTAATTCTGTTATATCTTCTTCCTGATTAAAGTCTGTTTCGCTACATATGGCGTCCATGTATGTTATGAAAAAAGAAGCGGCGATAGTACACAGCCCTGACGCACACCAGAGTTCACTATAAAAGTTCTAGACAACCCTGCCTTTGATCTTATGCAGCATTCACTACGTGTGTACAGGCTTTTGCAAATATTAATGAGATGATTGCTGATTCCTTTTTTCCCCATACATTCCCACAACATATTCCTGTCGACTCTATCGAAGGCTTTTTCTTGGTCTATGAATGTCAACAAACATGTCTTATCATGTTCTATTGCCCTCTCTGATAGTTGTCTCAATGTATAAATGGCATCTGTGCAACTTCTGTTTCGTCGAAAGCCCATCTGTGCTTCTGAAAGTTGATACTCTATCAATGGTCTCAGCCTTTTTTCGATGATCTTAGCATACATTTTCCCAGTGTGACTGAGAAGTGATATTCCTCTGTAATTAGTACATTCCCTCTTACTTCCTTTATTTTTCCACAACGGGACAATGACAGCAGTTTGCCAATCTGATGGTGTTTCTTGATTTTCCCATGCCACCTGAAATATTCTCTTTAACCATATTGCTCCCGTTTCTCCTGCTGCCTTGATGGCCTCAGCTGGTAGATCATCAATACCTGTCGCCTTTAGTCTAGGCGCGGTTCGAATGGCATATTTTACCTCATCCAATAATATACCTGGTTCTAGTTCCTCTGCTGTTAGTTCCGAGTTGTTTTTATGTTCTTCCCTGCTTTTATCTGTTTTATTGCAGCTAAGTAATGCTTCAAAGTAATTACTCCACCTTGCTAAGATTTTAGTAGGTTCTATTAAAGGTTGGCCAACTTCATCATTTATAATTTCTGTTGGGTTGTATTCTTCATTCCTGTTTCTCATGCCTTTGATTTTTTTGTAGTAGTTTTTCACTGCTGATCTTTCTTCTTCAGCCAGCTTGCTTCCAAACTTTTCCCATGAATCTCTTTTTGCTTTTCTGATAGTTCTATTTACTTCTCTTCTAATTTTCCTGTATGTTATGTAATCCTCTTCTGTTCTGCTCCTCAACCAAATGCCATAAGCTTTCTTTTTACTGCTCACAATACTTCTTATTTCTTCAGACCACCATGTTGAGAGCTTACGCCCTATGTTACCTTTCCTTTTAGTTTACTAACTACATCTGCACTAATTTACTGAACTGACATTTACAAGCTTACATACTAACTGCATCTGCACTAATTTACTGATCTGACATTTACAAGCTTACATACTAACTGCATCTGCACTAATTTACTGATCTGACATTTACAAGCTTACATACTAACTGCATCTGCACTAATTTATTGATCTGACATTTACAAGCTTACATACTAACTGCATCGGCACTAATTTACTGAACTGACATTTACAAGCTTACATACTAACTGCATCTGCACTAATTTACTGATCTGACATTTACAAGCTTACATACTAACTGCATCGGCACTAATTTACTGAACTGACATTTACAAGCTTACATACTAACTGCATCTGCACTAATTTACTGATCTGACATTTACAAGCTTACATACTAACTGCGTCTGCACTAATTTACTGAACTGACATTTACAAGCTTACATACTAACTACATCTTCACTAATTTACTGATCTGACATTTACAAGCTTACATACTAACTAAATCTGCACTAATTTACTGATCTGACATTTACAAGCTTACATACTAACTACATCTGCACTAATTTACTGATCTGACATTTACAAGCTTACATACTAACTACATCTGCACTAATTTACTGAACTGACATTTACAAGCTTACATACTAACTGCATCTGCACTAAATTACTGATCTGACATTTACAAGCTTACATACTAACTGCATCTGCACTAATTTAGTGAACTGACATTTACAAGCTTACATACTAACTGCATTTGCACTAATTTACTGATCTGACATTTACAAGCTTACATACTAACTGCATCTGCACTAATTTACTGATCTGACATTTACAAGCTTACATACTAACTGCATCTGCACTAATTTACTGATCTGACATTTACAAGCTTACATACTAACTGCATCTGCACTAATTTACTGATCTGACATTTACAAGCTTACATACTAACTGCATCTGCACTAATTTACTGAACTACTTTGGAG